GGTGTCATTGACATATGCGGTAATGGAAACGGTAAACGTGCCGATAGTAGATTTTCGATGGAAAAATTGTTGTTGAGGCCACTGCTGGAAAATTCGTATTCAGTTCTGAGTAGTGAAGTAAATGTACAGAAGCATATCCAGGGGTTTAGTAAATTATTATATCAGATTTTACACTCTATCCGCTAACAGGAGCATTTTCTACGGCTCAAACCTGATAGTTACATAGATTTCTTCCAAGCTGAAAGCTTCTAGGCTATTCTAATCCCCTCAACCTTACAGTGGAGCGAAAAAGTTTCAGTAAAGGCAGACGGTCAGCCTTTCTTGAGCGAGAACGATGGCTAAAACCTTTTGTCAAAGGGAAATTAGTTATAAAAGGAAAGTGTAGTATAGTGTACCTGCTTGGTGTAGCCATTGCCGTCATACAGGATCGAATTTGTTCCTGATTCGCCAAATAGTAAGGATAAGGCAACGACATTTTGGTGAAATGGCGCTTCGGCCGTGCAGCTACCGTGTCTCGCCAGGCTCCGCCCACCAGGGAGCCGATGATTCGTTGGCCGCGCCCCTCGGTAGCAATGACTGGGTCGAGGCGGCCGTCCGCCTTAGACCTCAAATCGCCTTTCAGGGCACAATACGTCGTGAAAAAATCGCACTGAGTAGTTGGCAAATATGCTCTGTACTGTGGACTTTATTCACCCGCTCAACGGATTCCAGCTGAGGTCGAATAGAGCATATGGGCTTATCGATTACTTGTAAAATACCAGTTTTGTAGAGCCTGAAGTAGAAGATGTAACGGGAAAAGGAAAAGCTGGAAGGAGAAAGAATATAAGAAACAAGAAGCCAATGAAGGAAAATCTCGCGATTTTGACAATTATGAAAGATGAACGTTCTAATACCCCAAATATCGATTTAATCTTTCATCTCTAGAGGAAATTCAGCGGTAGATCTGAATTTTAGATAATTTTAAAAAAGTAAACTCAAAATCGCTACCGTCTCAACCCAAAAATCTGTTTTACGATTTTTACAAAAAACAATATTCTGAAGAAACCTGATTAAGTTCTTTTTGCAGATCATTGAATTACTCAAGCCTCGGGGACTAACCTCGGGTATTCAACCCAGGGTCCAACTTAAACCAAGCAACTTGAAAATCTACGAGAGCATTTTTGATTTGGCGGTACTTGAAGACTCAGCAGAAACAGCTAGGTTTCAGCGAAGAAGAAGAAAAAAGAAAGAAGTTGACGGCTTCTGCCCAGTAAAGACTGGATCCGGTGGAATAGACAGTTTGTAGTGATTCGATGATAAACCCATTGACCAAGTGGGAAAAATACAAATCAACAGTTTGTCAACTAGTGCAGGCATAGGGGGTCACTGACAGCGACGGCAATGAGGTGGTGTACGGCAACGATCGAGTAAAGGTGTTGGGACGGCGTCGCGTCCTTGCGTGAATGCACTGAAGCGAACCGATCACTTATGCGTTCACGTCCTCAGATCTACTATGATAACTGGCTCACTAATCACATCAAAGGGGAAGAGGTACTCAAGGGAGAAGGGATGGGTAGAGGTGAGCAGTTCAGATAACCACCGGTCAAGAAATTGATAGATTTTTTCTTGAAAGAAAACCTCTTCTAGTGGCCACTATAATCTTTTACGATCGATCAGACCTTTTGCGATTCGAAGCCATTTTTTATACAAATGTATGGTTATAAATAAACTCATTATAAATGATTGGAAACGCTATAAATGTACATTAAATCGTAATTACAGATTCAAAATGAAATTATTAATACAAGGATGCTTTGTAACATTACTTATAAGGAACCTTCGTCTGTACAGACCTTCGTCGATTAGTGTTCAGTTTTTATTTGTTCTCCCAAGGGTGGAATGAAGTCATAGCTAGATGAGCATTGCTTCGTTTCTCTCCTAAGAATTCACTTTCATATAGAAAAAACTATGTTTTTCGATAAATCCATCCATAGGATAGCACAAAAATCCTTGAAGAGACTGAAAGTTTTGAACAAAAATTCGCTCTTTTTCCCAGCCCTCCTCCGATCGCACACGCAATTTGAATGGAAGTTAAATTAGTAACAGACTCTCAGAGATTCGGACGTCTCTGACGACTTTGCCGTCCACATGCTCTCATGAGCATAGTTAGTGATTTTGGTCGAGGAAGTCGTGCACTAACCAACTGCTCTCTTTTCGTTACACAGTACTTTCGTTTTCTACTACATCACTTTCAGTAAGTTTCAGAAGCAACAAAAAAGACTTGCCACCTT